AACACAAAAAGAACCCGAAACCATCGCCCAAGCAAGCGCATAAAAAATGTAATTAAGTTAAACGAAATTATTTTGTTAACGCGTCGGCAATTTATAATTCATATACTTAATACATATGTGGAGCGAACACAACAGGTCATGTTTATTAAGGCATATATAACAAAAACAAGCGGCAATCGCGATGGGCAGATTTTCGAGGATCGATAAAACTTAATTGCATGGCACTTAATGCATTTTAAGTTTTGCGGCCAGCGGAATGAAATGAGTGGGTAACCCGAGACGGAAGGGCCTAATAAAGACCTTGGAAGCCAAAGGCCCTTAGAAATCGAACTATCAACGGCAGCAGCTGAAGCGGAAGAAACCCAAGAAAATAAACCTAAATAAAAAAAAACCAAATTGGGCGTTAGAGACAAATTCATTTGGGGAGCGAGAAAAGGAGCCCATAAATTTATAGACTGTCCCGAGGGTCTCCGATCTTGATCTTGATACAGGCAAAAAGTTAAGAGAGTAAAAAAAAGAATGAAAAAAAAAACAATATCCGATCGGATCGGATCGTGTTGCAAATGGGTTGGCACAACACTTGGGTCCTTTTGGCATTAGAATTGCTAAACGCTGCCAGGATCCGCAGTTAAAAAAGTAAGGAAAAGGGTTCGCTGTTTAGGCTTTTACACTACACTACATAATTTGTAAGGGAAACGCGCGGACATTAGGTCATTTGGTCAGCGGGGGAAAAAAAAGGAAGGATCGCAATCGGGATCGGTGAAAGGACCTGGGCCACAAAAAGCACCTGTTAGAAGCTCAAACTTCCTCTTCCTTCAAACGGATGCATTCATCAATTTGGCAGGATCACAGGAAGCTCCTTCCTGCCGTTCCTTTACTTTTTTTCTTCACCCTTTTCTTGACAAGGGTTCTGCATCTGCTATTCTATTCTTTTCCCTTTTTTTATATTTTTTTTTTTTAGTTTTTTGCTGGACATTTGAAAAGGAACAGAACAGAAAACACGCACTTGTCAGTTAAGCAGCGAATTGATTAGCTGTCTGTCGGCTAATCGATGACACTTCCAGCCACTCCATCTCATTTGGAAGCCAACGCATTCTTTTTTCGCATTTGTCAACGTTTTCCGTTTAGTTTCATGCTCTATTAAATTCCGTTCGACATTTGCAATCGTTTCGGTTTTTATTTTTTAGGTTGGCTTTGCGAAAGCAAAAGTTCGGATGGGTGGCTGCTGGGGTGGATCGATGGGTATTTAAAGTGGGTCGCCAGCCGGAGATTGGCCAAAGGTTCATGGGTCAACGGAGGGCTGACATTGCCCCATTGCTAGTTAATTGTAAAATACCTATGGGTATTTGTCAAGTTTTAAACTATTCATATCAATATTATGTGAGTTTTTATCATATTGATATGAAATCGTATCATTTTGATATGAAAAATTGATATTTTGTTCTCTGTGTACTAAAAACACAAACTAAAACTTAAATCTCATAACAATATCTCTTCCCAAATAATCTTCAATTTAAATACACAATTAATTACATTTTTATCAGAGATTTACCGGTTGTATTATCTCTTTTTTGCAGCATAACCCATAGCAATTATCTGGCAGATTCGATCATTACTAAATATTTGAACAATAGCTAATCAAGAGAACAGCACCTGGTGCATGTTGTTAGTATTGAGGTCAATATATGATGCAGCACAATGATCAGCGTTATTAGTATGAATAAAATAGTGAATCCAAGATGTTGGGTCTCTGGATCTGCTCATTGTTTAGCCAGCTATATATACATATAGTTAGATATATATTATATACACAATATATGGGCAGAGCTGCTTGGAAAACGTTGCCGCCTCTGTCAACGTGTTTGGCATTTGCAATTAGACACACAGAACCAATCGACAAAAAATACAACAAGACCAAGAAAAAAAGGTTACCTTACAGGGGGAGGCAGGTGGGTGCGGGTGTGTGAGTGCCGTCATCGAATTGTCGTGCATGCCAGGAATTCAATATGCGATAAGCTCAGAATGCGTTTGGAATTTGACTAACATCGCCATCTCTCTTTCTCTCACATCATCCATCTCTTTCTCTGCGGGAAAAATATAAAGTTTTATTAAAGTAAACAATTAAATAAAATTTAAAAGTATTTATAAACCAACCAGTTATAAAAGGTTATATCTTTATAAGGGAAGTACAAGTTAGGTGTCACCGGCATAAAAATTAAAAATATGCTAATACATACTTCCAAAAAATACCAGAACCAGAAGCTCACAACTAGGAACTAAATACTTACAATGTCTACATATTACATAGAAACATCGCCACCCACTCAACGGGCTCTACTTCATTTAAATCACCTGGAAATTCCCTCAGAATACTGAAAGCCTGGGTTCATCTACCCAATTAGCAGGCGGCAAACCCGTAAAATCAAAATCCATACGTACGTAGTGGGCGCGAAAAATACAAAACAAAAAATGTACTATATTACGAATTCTAGACGACAACTTCAACGGTTCGGATCGAAAAGCTCTGCTTTGTCGGCATTGTCATGCACAATTTACATATCTATAGTATAGTATAGTACACGGACAAAAAAACAAGAGAAATTGGAAAAAAATTTAAATAATATAAAGAAAAAGAGAGAACGATTTTTTTTTAAATAAAAATTACAACATATATTTTTAAATCCCCACAATACTATTTATAGGAATAGAAAATATGAAATTATTATAGATATGTTTTATGTTCAAAATTGATCAATTATTAATATATAAAAAAAATTTTTAAAGTGTACACGTACACACAAAGTTATTTCACTTTTTATTTGAACTCGTACTTTTTCTACGCTTTGCCTATTTGTTTTATCTTTTTTTCTCAGTTTTTATTCCTTTTTTTTTGTCAATTTTTGTTGTGTGTTTTTACGACGCATTTCGCGCTAGACGAAATCGGTGGAAGCCGCCGATTTCAGTGGGGCATAAAATTTAAATTGAAAAGTTCAAGCTCGGATGCGAAAGGGAGGGCGCGAGTATGTAAATCGATTTACGGTAAAGGATAAAACGTCCAATGAACTCTGCCGTGTTGGCGAGAGCGAGACGGAGACAGAGTTCTAGGCGATCAGCAATTGTTGCCCTCACTGTTTAGCTGGAAAAAATTCTAATTGTTTTAGTGTTTTTCCTTTTTTTTATTTTCTCACTTTGTTTTAATTGCTGTTGGCTCGAGGTCAATGTTTGTGCTTTGTTGTTTTATTTTTTTTTTTATTGTACAATACAACTTCAATTGAAATTCATTTCCTCATGGCAGCAACACACAAAAATGATACAAAAAAAAAAACAATAACAAATGACGCCTTTTTCGCATTTCATTTTCAACTTGAAAAACTCAAGCTCAAACATGTTTTCTATGTGTGCTTGTGTAATTATAAACATTTTACAATTCGCCTTGACCTTAACACAATAAAATAAATTACAACTATGGCAATGCAAACGCACGCACACACACACACCGAATACCGATCGACTGAAACTTGTAACATGCATGTAAAACCCATGTAAAATGTAAAGGGTGGGCGTGTAGAATGTGGGCGTGGCCCGTCTATTAACCCATTTGAAACATAAATGGCATGCCAAGCATTTCGCAGGGGGTGGGGAAAAATGCGTTAAATCGGCAAGGCAATCGATCAATTATTTTCTAGTTAACAGTGGTACAAAAATGTAATATCTTTTTAATTTTTTAATATTTAAAGTTTTAAAAATATGGACTTAAAAACAAATAAAAAACCCAATTGTTTAGACAATTTAAAAAGTTATGTATGAATGTAAATACTTACATACATATGTAATATTATGCATGTTTAGCTGCATGTGTGCACATTTGACAGTTAGAATTTATGAGACGCCGACTGCGCAGCGACTGCAAAACTTGGCCATGACCAACAGAGCGAGATAGCGAATGCGTGATTGGCATTTGTAATTGCACTTACACAGGTGCATACATACAAACATACGTTTGCAATTACACACTCGCAAAAGGGCCAAGAAAAACAGCAACAACACACACACACACCCACGCCATCGAACACACATTGGCAAAAAGCCTTGATCTTGATCGAAACAACTACAGTAACAAACTTACAAACTTACATATTACTTTGCAGTGTTGTTGCTGGCTCGCCTGCTTTTGGCTTTGGCTTTATTGCACTTGTTTTGATTTAAAGCCAAGACGGCTTTTAGTAGCTAACCTTGTCTTTGCCCGTTTTGTCTTTGCACTTGCACTTGCAATGGGCGATTGATAAATAATAAAGAAGAACAAAAAGCGCAACGCCCTCGAAACGGATAGTTCGAAAAAGCATCGACAGAGGGCGCTTTCCTCTATAGTGCAAATCACAGGAGAAAAGGAAGATGAAGAACTTGAGGAAGAACACGAGTAACACTGAAAAAAAAGCTTTATGCATTTCAATTCTTTGAGTTTCAAATTTGAAGTTTTTTTAACTCATTTTTTTGATCCATCTGTAATTCATTTCTTGTTCTTATATTTAGAAATTTTTAATTATTTGCTTTTAGTAATGGCTAATAATCAATTCTTTTTGAGTCCTTAACTTTACCTTCCAATTTGTCCAATTGGAAACCAATTAGTAATAAAACTCAAATTGCATAATTTTTTGATCCTCAGTCAGTCCAGTTGCATTTACAGTTACTCACCTTATACACCCACGCATACTTACATACACACGATTACACTTTTTGACGAATGTGGGAGAAAGGAAAAATCTCGATTCCGATAGAAATTCCATTCCTTTTCACAGTTAAACGGCGATCGTCCAGGGCGAACGTGTAAATCGAAAAAAAGTTTCCTAATTGCTCTCATTTTCGGGGATTTTCCGTTGTTTCCTTAGCTCGCTCTCGAAAGTTCCATAGTTCCGTAGAGTTGTAATTTTCCTTTTTAGTTTGCCAGGTAGTTTTCAATGCACATTCTTATTAATCCTTATTTTTCTCCTTTCTTTTTACAGAAAACTTTGCGGCCGAATTACTGCAGCGTTTAACCCCAAACGCCAACACCACCACCACTGTAGCTGCACAAAATAATATTGTTAGGCCAATAGTTAATGATTTGGTTAATAATAGCAAAGCCACCACCTCCGTTTTAGCCACAAAAGACTGCGCAATTGAAAACTCCCCAATTAGCATACCAAAAAAAGATCAGCGAGAAGAGGAAGAAGAAGAGCAGCGGGCAGCAGCAGCAGCAGCAGAAGAAGAAGAAGAGCAGGCTCAAAAGAGAGAGCAAGCGGAGGTAGAGAGAGAGGCGGAGGTAGAAGAGAGAGAGAGCAAAGAGGAAGAGGACGAGGAGGACGACGAAGTGGATGTGGGCGTAGAGGCGCCACGCCCACGCTTCTACAATACCGGCGTGGTTTTAACCCAGGCTCAGCGCAAGGAATATCCGCAGGATCCCGAGCCCCGTGACCTTTCGCTCGCCCAATCCTCGCCAGCTTCCCCGCCGCCGCCGCCGCCAAATCCCTGTCACTCCGATTCCGATACCGATACCGATTCCGATTCGGATGGCGGCTGCAAGCTAATCGTCGACGAGAAGCCCCCATTGCCGGCGATCAAGCCGCTTTCCCTGCGCCTGCGCAGCACTCCGCCGCCAGCGGATCAGCGTCCCAGTCCGCCGCCTCCGCGCGACCCGGCGCCCGCCGTCCGCTGCTCGGTGATCCAGCGGGCACCGCAGGCCAGCAGCCGGCTGGCCGGATTCCTCCTGCCGCCGCTCGATCAGCTCGGTCCCGAGCAGCAGGAGCCCATCGATTACCACGTCCCGAAGCGGCGGAGTCCCTCCGTCGACTCCGATGAGGAGCTGAACGCCCGCCGGCTGGAGAGAGCACGCCAGGTGCGCGAGGCGCGTCGCAGGAGCACCATTTTGGCCGCTCGCGTCCTCTTGGCCCAGTCGCAGAGGCTCAATCCGCGCTTGGTGCGCTCGCTGCCGGGAATTCTAGCCGCCGCTGCGGGTCACGGACGCAATAGTAGCAGCTCCAGCGGTGCCGCCGGCCAGGGCTTCCAATCCTCCGGATTTGGCAGCCAGAACAGCGGCAGTGGTTCGTCTAGTTCGTCCAATCAGAACGCCGGGAGCGGTGCTGGATCACCGGGATCGGGGGCCGGAGGAGGTGGTGGCATGGGCGGCGGTCGCGACGGCCGAGGGAACTACGGACCCAATTCACCGCCCACGGGGGCACTGCCTCCGTTCTACGAGAGCCTCAAGAGCGGCCAGCAGAGCACGGCGAGCAATAATACGGGTCAGAATAGCTCGCATTTCAACGGGAATCCAGCGAATTTTCTGCAAAACGCAGCAGCGGCTGCTTACATAATGTCAGCAGGAGGAGGAGGTGGTGGAGGATCTTCCGGAGGAGGTGGCTCCGGAGGAGGAGGAGCTGCCGGCGGAGGAGGAGGCGGCTCCAGTGGTGGTGGTAACGGCAATGGCTACATCAATTGTGGCGGCGTTGCTGGTCCAAACAATAATCTCGACGGTAATAACCTATTGAACTTCGCCAGTGTTTCTAACTATAACGACTCCAATTCCAAATTCCATAATCACCATCATCATCATCATCATCATCACAACAACAATAATAATGGTGGTCAACCATCCATGATGGGTCATCCCTTTTACGGCGGCAATCCCTCAGCCTATGGAATCATACTGAAGGATGAGCCGGACATTGAGTACGACGAGGCCAAGATCGACATAGGAACCTTTGCGCAGAACATCATCCAGGCGACGATGGGCAGCTCGGGTCAGTTCAATGCCAGCGCCTATGAAGATGCCATCATGTCGGATTTGGCCAGCTCCGGTCAGTGTCCCAATGGCGCCGTCGATCCGCTGCAGTTTACAGCGACTTTGATGCTGAGTTCGCAGACGGATCATCTGCTGGAGCAGCTGTCCGATGCCGTGGATCTCAGCTCCTTCCTGCAGCGCAGCTGTGTGGACGACGAGGAGTCCGCGAGTCCAAGGCAGGACTTTGAGCTGGTGTCCACGCCCTCGCTGACGCCGGACTCGGTGACGCCGGTGGAGCAGCACAATGCCAACACCTCGCAGTTGGATGCCCTGCACGAGAACCTCTTGACGCAGCTGACCCACAATATGGCCAGGAACAGCAGCAATCAGCAGCAGCAGCAGCAGCATCAGCAGCAGCAACAGCAGCAGCAGCATAATATGCAGCAGCAACATAATATGCAGCAGCAACATAGCGTGCAACAGCCGCCACCGCCCTCGTATCAGCATGCCACGCGCGGCTTGATGATGCAACAGCAGCCGCAGCACGGCGGCTACCAGCAGCAGCAGCAGGCCATCAGCAGCAGCTACCAGCAGCAACAGTCGCACCACCAGCAGCAGCAGCAGCAACATGCCGCTGCCTACCAGCAGCAGCACAATATGTATGCCCAGCAGCAGCAGCAGCAGCAGCAACATCACCAGCAGCAACAGCATCACTTCCACCACCAGCAACAGCAGCAGCAACAGCAGCCGCATCACTCGCATCATCATGGCCATGGTCATGACAACAGCAACATGTCGCTGCCCTCGCCAACTGCGGCTGCTGCGGCGGCTGCTGCTGCTGCTGCGGCTGCTGCAGCGGCCGCTCACCTACAGCGACCGATGAGCAGCAGCAGCAGCTCCGGCGGCACCAACAGCAGCAACAGCAGCGGCGGCAGCAGCAATAGTCCGCTCCTAGATGCAAATGCTGCCGCGGCAGCAGCGGCCGCCCTGCTGGACACCAAGCCGCTCATCCAAAGCGTAAGTAATCCCCTTGATCCGTCGAATAATGCCCAATCACAGCAGACAAAGCAGGGGAAGCAAATCACCCTGATGAAGACCACCACGTACACGGAGTTCGTGGAGATGGTGTCGATGGATGTGCTGGTCAAGCCGGAGCCTTTGGTGGAGACCAAACCGGAGGTGACTGAGGTGACTTTGGAGGAGGAGACAGTGGTACCGGTGGCAATACCACCGCCTCCGCCGCCGCCAGCAGCAGCAGCAACTTCGGGCAGAAAGCTGCGCGGAAGGGCCAAGGCGGTGGCCTATGGCTCCACCATGATCACGCTGATCTCCACGCTGAAATCCTCGGCGGAGGTGCCGGCCACCAAGACGGTGCATCGCACCACCTTGCGATCGCTGGCCTCGGCGGCGGCGGCCACGGCAGCGGGACTGCTGGCGCCGTCGCCCACCGTTTCCGTTTTGAATGAGAGCAAAGTCCTGCAGCGGCGCGTAAGTGCGGAGGAGCAGGCGGAAATGGGACAGTGGGGGTCTCCAACAGATTAGCCATTGAAATCTCTTTGATGTAGGGAGATATTATAGGGGTTTATTCGAATTTGAAAGCCGAATTTGATGTAAATATCATTTGCAAGGCTCTAGAAAATCAGTAAAATGATTAATATTTATAATGGAAAGAGCCTTAAATTTAAGGCGTTAAATGCGGAAAGTCCTTTGATTTTGTGGATTGATGTTCTTAAGAACTATAAAGGATTTCGTTTGGAAATAATTTCTATAGGGTTTAAAAATATAAAATAAAATAAAATACAAAATTAGTTAAAGTCTAGATTACCCACCCAAAACTTCAATTCGATCGGACCAATAGTTTAGGAAATATGATCATTGAAAGTTAGTCACCTTTTTATTTATACATATTCAGCATCCTAAAATCTCGTGCTTAAAGTAATGATTTAGAAATTGTTTTTTAATAACCTTAAAAATTAAAAAACCAAAAAAATAAGTCGAAATTGTTTTTCTTCGAAATTTCATCGTTCAAGAACGAGATTTTAAGATACACTAACAAGAAAAAATGTACTTTGTAATTTTAGGATGATTTGGTAGCCAGTTAAAAAGTTTAAATAGGGTGTTTTTTTTTTTTGAGGGCCAGTTGAAATTATATTTGTTGATATTTCTTCAATATATATTTTTTTAATTACTTATCAATTGTGTATATTAATATTTTTCGAGATAATGAAAAAACCCTATGTAACCCTTTTGAATTTCCCTCCGTTGAAAAGTTTTCAGTGCTAATTTGTTGGATCCAGGACCTGCACTCGACTTTTAACGCCGTTTCTTCCCAGGAACAAACCCGATTACTTGTTTCAAAGCCCGTTGTTTGTGTTTGTCTGTGATTGTCATATATTTTTTTAAAACCCAAAAAAAACCAAATCTTAATATGCACTTATATTAATAAATACATTGCGATTTATTCAACAGTTGGGCCTGCCGCCAGATCTGCAGCTGGAGTTTGTGAACGGCGGCCATGGCATTAAGAACCCGCTGGCCGTGGAGAATGCCCATGGTGGCCATCACCGAATACGCAACATGGATTGCATTGATGATCTCAGCAAGCATGGCCACCACTCGCAGCAGCAGCAGCAACAGCAGCAGCAGCAGGGCTCGCCACAGCAGCAGCAGCAACAGCAGAGCATGCAGCAATCGGTGCAACAGCAGTCGGTGCAGCAATCCCTCCAGCAGCAGCAACAGCAACAGCAGCAGCAGCAGCACCATCAGCACCACAGCAACAGCAGCGCCAGCAGCAATGCCAGCAGTCACGGCTCCGCCGAAGCCCTTTGCATGGGCTCAACCAGCGGCGGAGTTAACGAGGACTCCTCCTCGGGCAACAACAAGTTCGTGTGCCGCGTCTGCATGAAGACCTTCTCGCTGCAGCGACTGCTCAATCGGCACATGAAGTGCCACTCGGACATCAAGCGATATCTGTGCACGTTCTGCGGCAAGGGATTCAACGACACCTTCGACCTCAAGCGGCACACGCGCACCCACACGGGCGTGCGGCCGTACAAGTGCAATCTGTGCGAGAAGAGCTTCACGCAGCGCTGCTCTTTGGAGTCGCACTGCCAGAAGGTGCACAGCGTTCAGCACCAGTACGCCTACAAGGAGCGCAGGGCCAAGGTGAGAATGGGATTAGGGAAATCCAAAAAGATTCCTTTAACTAAAACCTTTGTTTTACAGATGTACGTCTGCGAGGAGTGCGGCCACACCACCTGCGAACCGGAGGTGCACTATCTGCATTTGAAGAACAACCATCCCTTCTCGCCGGCGCTGCTCAAGTTCTACGACAAGCGGCACTTCAAGTTCACCAACTCGCAGTTCGCCAACAATCTGCTTGGCCAGCTGCCCATGCCGGTCCATAATTAGTAAATGGATGGGATTGAATTTAGATATAGGAACTTAGGCAACAACCAACATTGTGACTTTGAAGTTTTTTGAAAACTGAAAACTGCCCCCCCGCGGAGGAAACGGAATTTTTGGAGATTATGCTTATTATGTATATTTTTGCCTAGCCCTAAGTTTAATTAGTTATAGCTGTAGAATCACGCTACTCCACTACTCACTTTGCTGTGCAAATCTGTCTCACTTGAAACTTTTGAGCCTTTTGTTTATAGTTAATCTTGAATTTTCCATTTAATGCAATTATTTTTTTTTCGGTTTACCGCTTCTTAGTCAAAAAATTATCGTAGAGCTAAGAAATGTTTTGAAGAAGCTTTGAGCAACACACAAAAATTATGGATTATCAATCGTTTATAGGTATATTACAAGAAAATATATATAAAAAAGATATAGCTGTAAGATGTTAAGAGCTAACAACCGAACAAGCTGCAAACGTTTGCATTTATTTGTCTTCAACAAAAGCAAAAACAAAAAACGGAATAGATCGCGTAGAAAAATGAGCAAGGATTAACATATTTACACACCACCAACGCATAAATATTTATTACTTAATCACAAACCACATTGCAAAGAGGCAAAACATTCGAATAAATTAGGCTAGGATACATAAAACATAAAACAAAACGTAAACTAAAGCTGTTCATAAATGAAGTCAAAGCCCCAACAATATCCAACATGTTTTGGAAGAATCGTTGCGATAAGATAATTCTTTGAATGTATATCTTGCATTAAACTTAGCTTTTAGGCAATACCACCAATTGTACTGATCTTAAATGAACAAACACTAAGAAAAACATACATTTTATATATATAAACCGATATCCGATGGTATATTCGATAAGCCTTAGTCCTAAGGTAAAATTACTCTTGAATCTGGATTCGAATTTGAGTTTGAATTTGATAACAATTGAGGGAAACTATGATTTCCCATGCGTAACATTAAACTGCATTATTATTTCTGTTTTAGCTTAACGCTTTTTTTTTCTTTTAATTTGTTGTAAGCAACAACGGGTTTTTTGTGCAATCGCTTGGTGTTGGTTAAATGGAATTAAGGATGATGACATGACAAATCGGATTTAAGAATCGTACTTTAAGGTTTATGCTGTGGGGGCTGTGCATTGTGGCGCCACGCCCACCGCCCGCTGTACAGCCCCCAAAGAAGAAGGAGTAGAATACGGCGGATATCGAAACTTGGCAAAGGAAGAGTCCTTGTTTTAATCTCCTCCCTCAATTAACTTAGTGCTTAACTAGAAAACTTTCACTCACACATGAATACACACATATATAAATATCAGTTCAGCACACACACACACAACACACCTAAATATTACCTTAAATTTAGTTAGTTAGCTTAGGGAAAATTTGAACTTGAAGAAATACGGATACGGAAAAATTGATCACACAAAATTTAACACTTCCATGAAAAATTCCAAATTTTTTTTATCACCATTATCATTAACGAATTTTGTATGAAACGAACAAGAAAAACAAAATTACAAAAAAAAAAAAAAAAATATATTTAATATATAACAAAATTTGAACGGAACGCAAATTTGTTTAGTTGATAATGAAACAGTTTTTTTTTAAACTATCAATTATGTATACTATATATAAAGATTATGAGAAGCGAATTAATTAATAAATATTAAATATGACAAAATAAAAAATACCTTGTTGGAATGTCTTTTTGAAAATGGGTGGGTGGGTATAAGTATATTTTCTATGATTTCTAGCAAATTTTAGTCCATTTCCATTCCAAAAGTCCAAGTAATGGAACACACTTGATCGTTTATTTTCAAATATTTTGTATTTTATTTATTTCGCTAGTTTCTTTATGTTTTGTCCTTCATTTTTTGTGTTCAGTGTTTTTTTAGAGGTTTTAATTTCGTTTTTTACAATTTTTTTCTTTGGATTTTGTTCCATTTTTCGTGTTGATTTTATTGTTGAATTTTTGTGTTTTTTTTTTGTTTGCTTTCATTTTATATTTTTTACATTAATTACTGAAATACACACACAGACACGGAATTACAATAAAATCTAGATTGTTTTTGGTTTCTTTTCGGTTTTATGCGTTTCTTTTTTAATTATTCTCTGTTATTATCATGAATTTGAATATATGTGTTTGTTGTTCTTTATTTAATTTTCTTCGAGTAGTTTTTAATGGCTTTGCTTCGGCTACTTCGTTTCTATTAGTTAAACTAAATTCTTTAAAATTTCCACTATTAATAAAAGAAAACGGGAAAACAGGGAAAGTAACTTCTCGTGAAATGTGACTTATGTTTTGCAAGATGTATGCATCTTTCCTTAATATGTTGAGCAAATTGCGCCAATTTTTAAGTTTTTAATTTCCGTTTCCTTGCATCATACAACTCCGTCTCCCACTCTCTTTACATTTATATACGCATATAGATATCTATATACAAATAGTTGTATACTTTATATCTGATATGAACCACCCCGTCTGGGAATAAAAGTGAAACGTAAATAAATCAAAACACAAATTTTACTCTGACAAAATATATATTTTCATTTTTTGTTGGCGTTAAATTAAGAAATAATAAAGATCCAGTAAGTGTTTACTATTAAGGTGAGAAATTATAATGGTTAATAAAATTATGCACTAAGGTTAAATCATTTAAACATACTTGTTCCTTTTTTTTTGTAATATTTGATTTGTATGCTTTATACACAAAAACTAAGAGTAATAAAAAAATATAGATATTTTCAAATACATACAACGCGCGTTCTTCCCACGCAACCAGTGTGCTGACATAAGAGCCCATGATCAAATTATTCTTTATTTAAAGTTGTAACCGATGGTTATGGATCTTTTTTCAAGTATTAAAAATCTAGGACAAGGATTTATGTCAGGACACCGAAAACAGAACAAGAAACATAATGATAAACGGACTTTAAACACACCTCTTTCTTAAAATCTCTTCCGTTTACACACATTGATTTAGTAATTCGTAATGATCTTTATGTATATAATATATATATATGATTTCTTGTTATGTTCTTTTTTATTGTGGTTTCGCTTACATCGAGTCTAACACTAAAAACAGACACATTTCGTTTAATTTTGCGCTTGCACTTCATCGTCGTTATGTAAACATTAAGTTTGGTTTTCCCATATGTGTTAAAAATGCTTCTAAAAATTGTTTACCATATTTTGTTAATTCTGTTTTATTGTACACGCTACACACATAATTTCTGGTTTATATTTTTATTTTTTGCTTTTAGTTTGCATTTTCAAAAATTTGTTTTTTTCCATTTCACATTCATTTAGCTTAGCTTTCTATAGTTTTTTTTTTATTTTTACGGTGTTTTTTTTGTGGGGGAGGGAAAAGGGAGGGGCGGTTTACATAATACTGAAAATACGACTAGACATTCATAGTGTATAAATACGATTTGTTTAATTTACTTTACCGTTTCTGTTTATAGATAATTTATTTAAATATATTTATTTACCTTTATTTATATATAATATATATATTTTCGTGGGCTTTATGTTGTTGTTCAGATTGAAATTGTTCGGTTTTTTTTCTCAATATTTCTCGAAAATGCTTTAAAAAGTCGGGTTTTCTTCTACTCCTTAGATCCTTTAACAAATTCGTAACTTAAAAAGTTGGCTTTTCTGCATATATATTTTTGTGCATAACAAATTGATTTCCCTTTAAAAATAATTATACTTTTGCTTAGTTACAAATTGTTTTATTAATTTTAATTTGTTTCCGTTTTTCTCTTGTGTTAATATGATTATGTGTTGTTTTTTATTTTGGTTTCAATAATTTAGACTTTGCAAAGTTACACACAGGGGACACACAGAAATTAGTTTTTATTAAATTTCTTCAATTATTTGATTTTTAGGTACTTTTATGTTTTAAAAAAAAGAAGACAACTAAACCACATTTAATTTGTGTGAATGTGTTTTTAATTGGACTGTTCTTGGCTTCACAATTATTTTATCCATTTTCGATCCTAATGTAAGGTGTTTTTGTGTGTACACTATAAAGTTTACAATATTACTTTATTAAATATTTTTTATTGCAGAAAATTTGGCGCCCAAGCCTTTTGACCGGCCTGGTTTACACTTAAAAAAATATTTCACTTTGCTTTCTATCTTTCGCTTCACCCGTTTCCTCTTCGATCTTATTTAAAGTTACGTTTTTTTTTTGTTTTTTCCATTTTTTTTTAATATAATACAAAAAATTTGTTTGTTGTTGTGTGCGCAGTCGTTGAGATTAAATTTTTAAAAATTTAGTTGGTTGTTGTTGTGGTGCAAAGTTGTTGGGTTCTTGTTAATCATCGTTTTTATCCTTTTGTTGTTTGGTATATAAAATAGTATTTCTTGGAGTTTGGTTTTTGGATTTATTAAATCTTACAATATTTATTTCATTCTGCAAATGTACAAAAATTCGCGTTTTTCCTTGATTCTTATTTTTCGGTGTAACTAAAAATGATTTCGGGTTAAGTTCTTGTTATTCCACTTAATTGCTCTCAGTGTATTAAGAAGGGGAAGGGGCGTGAGAAAAGGCGTGAGGGGCAGTGAACGATGAGTTTCTCCGAGAGGTTTTTGCCACCTGTTTTGTCTCGTTTTTATTGCTTTCCAAAATTCGGAGTTTTCCCGAATAAAAGAGTGGAAAGTGGGGAGGGGTTTATCGAATTCATCAACTGGTTACCGATTTAATAAACTCTGGAAATTTGTACATCGTTCGAATCGAAATTTCAACTGTTTTCGATTGCTTGCTAAAATTCGGCGCTTTTCCGAAAAGTGGATGAAAAGGGGGCGGGCCAAAGTTTAATCACCTGGTTATCGAATTCATCAACTGTTTATCGATTTCTTCAATCTGGAAATTTGTACATCGTTCAAATCGAACTTTTAACTCGTGCGGAAGACAAATCCGTAAATAATGTTGTTTTTTTTTCTTCGATTTGGAAAACAAAAACATTTTCTCTTTGCGCGTTTTTCCTTTGAGCTTTTCCATGTGTCTATGTGTGAGTGTTTTGTGTGTTTTTTATGATTAACGGCTCTTGTTATTATAGTTATTTTCTTTTAGTAACAAACAAAATGGCAAGCAACAACAGTTATTAATATTAAGCACAAAGAAGCAAAATAAAAACTCTCAATAGAAACGAAAAATCGGTTAAATATGCTTTTCCTTCCATGCTACACACAGAAAAAGAAGTGAACTCTTTCAGCTACGTTTTACAATTGTTGGCTAACTTGTTTGTTATACATTTATAATTTAATTAATTTAATAGAGTTTTATTCATTATATTTTGTTAACATTAAATGCTTTTGATAGAAGTTTTTGTTATGTCGATTTTTGTTCTCCTCCTTTATTGTATCCGAATCCCCATCCAGATATATATCTATATATATATATATTTGATGGCTATATATATTTGTTTTAGATAATTTTTAATTTTCGAAAAACGAAAAGAATACACAAACAATTGTTGATGTAAATGCAAATGAAAAGTTGTCAAGTGTTAATGCTAAAGATCAAGTAATTGTACAGCGGCTATATATATATATATTATATATTCGTATGCTTATGCAGTTTCGTATGTTAGGGTAAAGCTAAAGCTAAAGCATGCTCTTTCAGCTTAGAGACTACATAGAAATCAGGCTTACACTTAGCTACAGATTATCTATAGTATATAGTAATGCAAATCATAATCGTACATCGTTTGGGTGTTTTATGTATTCGTGTAATTGGGGGTACTTAGCAACTAATTAAGGAAACCACAAGGTGTTTGAGCGAAGGTGAGAGAGAGGTCGAATTTCAGTGATGGGGGAGATTGCACATTGGAACTGCTAATAAAAGTAATAAAAAAAAATACCTTATCCTTTTACAAACTAACTATGCAAAAATTATATATGGATTCTCGAATTATATGGAACAAATACTGCGCTTTAGGTAAGTGAAAACAAGGTGTTAATCAAAAAATAAAAGGCAATAAGCTAAATTAAAGCAGTTTTCACTTATTTCTTCTTTTCTGATTAGATTTTTGGAGCCAATACTGTAGGATCCTCAAGTGACAGAGAGATATGCTTGGTACATATAGCTTTCCATATACAATCAGCACATTGATTGTCTAGTCCATTAAATTATAATACAATTTCTCGAGTTATCTTTGTTATTACACAGGAACTGAATTTTCTTTCGTTTTGAATGCAAAAACTAAAGCCGAGAGATCAAATGCGAAACTATACAACTAAAATTAGGGTTCGTAATAGAAAATACAATGTGCTGAGCCATACGGAAAGTTAAAACAGAGATTTGTGTATATATTATTAAGGTAAGTGATTTGTAAAAATAAAAACTTAAAATAAACAATTCGTGTTTCACATCAAGTTACAAGTTCATTTGAGATTTTCTTCTTTTTTTTACACTAAAAGTGGGTCGAAATTTGTATACACTTCTTATAAACAGATCAGAGTGAGACAGGGAGTGAGACAGAGAGGACACGAGAGCAACAGAGACAAAGACACACAGAGTGAGAGAGAGCGAGAGACAAGATAAACAACTACAACAAAGGGAAACGGGGGTGAAAATTACACACTGGGAACGGAAGCAAGTTGAAATCAAAAATTACATTTTACACATTGATTTAGACTTAAGATCACGTTATAAGATCATCACGAGCGCAACAGAGATAGCAAATTATCTATATGGTGGACATATAGGATAAGTATGTTAACTATATATATAAGCAATATATATATATGTATATTAGGGTGGCTCGACCTGATTGCGTTGCAAAAAAAAAGAAAAACATTAAGGAAGAGTCTTCTATGGATAATTCTAAATAATTTGGCCTTTAAAACTTTAGTTGTAATATTGATTTTAAGCTTAACTTTCTATTTCCTCTTAACCAAAGATAAACCCAATTTTTTTCCTTTCGCTTGGGTAGGTCAAATTTAAATCTTAGATCTATAATTTTTACAATCAAATTGGTGAAAGTTTTAAACTGGGTTGAAAAAAAACACATATTTTTCCTTTGAATAATACCAGATATTTTAAAACCAGCTGATAAATCACTCAAAACTAATACTCCTAGAAGTTTCTAAAGTTCTTAAAGCCCATATAGTACAAATTGTTGTGCTTACTACACAATTGAATTTTGTTTTTTGCATAAATTATGCATTTCCCTGCGACTTTTTCTGTTTCTGTTTCTAGCAGCTCAATAGTTATTAGCTCTAAAGTTTTGTTACAGCGAAATTAATTAGAATTGTTCATAAATTTGTTTTTGCACCCTACGCAAATCGATTCACCCTATTGGATGTGTTTTGTATGTGGTGTGTGTTTGGTGTTGTGTGTGTGGTAAATGTGGGGAGATCGGGGGGACATGTATAATATATACGTGGTGCAGCCTTGAATCAGGGTTAACCGAATCCTCAGCTCCACATGGCTGCATCGTGGACGCGTCGCAGGACATGGCGTTGCTGATCCTGCTCCTGTTTCTCCTCCACTTCCCGCTCTTCCACTTCTTGCTGCTGCTGCTGGTGATCCTCCTCCTGCTCCTCCTCCTTCTCCTCGCCAACCACCTGCTTCACCAGTTTCCAATGACAATGACGTTGATGATCCACCACAACGGCGGCTGCCTGCACTCAATTGTAAATGAAATTGGCCGCATCGCACAGAGCATCGCTGTCGTCATCGAACTTGCCGTTCATGGCATAGGAACTGGCACCCGTGCCGTAGACCCATTCCTTTTTGATAAAGTCCCCATCGGTGGTCGACGACGACGTTGTATTGTGCAGTCCACCCAGCGAACTATGATCCAGCCGAAAGTCATCGTCGTCATCGGGATAAAGCTGCACCGGTATGCTGTCCGGTATCGAGTGCGGTTCAAATAGATTGCCATACGGCGGCAGCGAATGATTCAGATCCACATGATGATCAACCAAATCGCTATCAAAGTTCGATATACGGAATTTCGAACTTGGCGGCGATTGTGGGGAATGCAGGGCTGCCGAATCCTCGAACATCACCTCCTCCTTGATGAACATATCGTTGGAGTTGTCGCCAGAGCCCGAGGAATACAGATTCGGTTCCACTTTGATGATGGCCGCTGTGGCCAGGGACGGTGATGATTTCTCATCGTCATCATCGTCATCGAAGTGATGATTGTGATGGTTGTGATGATGGTGATGCTGTTGCTGCTGCGTTTGCTGATGCTGCTGCTGCTGCTGCTGTTGATGATCTTCATCCTCGTCTTCATCGTCATCCATGTCCGCCAGATGACGACGTCGGTGGTGATTTCGGTGGTTGTTGCGCTGCGTAACCCGCTGCTGCTGTTGCTGGGCTTGTTGCTGCTGCTGCTGCTGCTGGTGGTTCCTCGTGCTGCGTATAATCGTGGAGCCTCCGAGAGCAGCCGCCGCCGAGGAAGCTATGGATAGGGGCACACCGGTGGCCTTGGACACCAGCACCGTGGATGAGGAGCAAGAGGTCGAGGACGACGATGGCGATTGGGCGGGCGAAATAACTGCAAGATAATCAAGGTAAGCATTTGAGTAAATAAATATATAATAAAAATAAATATATTAATGGGGATGCTACAATTAATCTACATATATGTATTTAAATTTAATATATTTAATATATTTATTAAAATTTAATATAAATATATATATTTTTTTAAATTTAACCACATAATTTGTTGAAACAACAATAAATTGTAGGAAAGCGAAGTATGAATACCCTTGCAGATTTTACGAATGAAAATTTGACTAGAATATCGTGAATATAAATTTATATATTTATATATTATTAGAATATTTTATATATTGTTTAACAATATCTCATATACTTTTTACAATTTTTTTTATATTTTATATAGTTTATAGCTCTGCAAGGTTAAAATACCTCAGTAAAAATACACACAGTGACAAATTTATAGAGGAAGCCCATTTTTGGAACCCCTCAAAGTATTAGAAATCCACTCACCACCTGTCTGCTGCACCACACTGGTCAGCGCTGCGCCGCCGTTGTTGCTCCCGGTCGAATGATGAATGATCGGCGTCTTTCGTATCAACTGCGAGCCATTGCTGACGTTGCCGGCGACAATGTTGCTGCTACTGTTGCTGCTGCTGCTTGTGGAGGTGTTGCCGCTGCCGTTGCTGGTGCCTGCACCGCTCTGGATGACCTGTGCATGCAGCACGGGCGTTGGATCGGACGTCTGCTGCTGCTGCTGCTGGGATCCCTGCTGCATGTAGTTCTTGATGACAATCGTTCGTGTTGGCGCCGAGACGAGATATTGCTGCTGCTGCTGCGATTGCTGCTGCTGCTGATGCGACATCTGGTGCTGCGAGGCTGGCGAGGATGAGGTGGAGGAGTGCTGGTTCAGGTGTAGCGAGGCATTCGAGGACTCCGATGAGTCCTCGCCGGTGGTCAAGCGATTGGTGGTTGCGTTCACAATGTGCGAGGAGGAGTTCATACCGCCGCCGCTGCCGTCCTCCTCATCCCCACTCAGTCCCGACTGTTCGTCCAGTTCCATTTGGTGATGGTTAAGGTGGTGCTGTTGCTGCTGCATTTGCTGCTGCTGCTGATTGCTACTTGTGCCGGGTCTCTCCAGTTCATGCGGCGGTTCCAACTTCACAATCGTTGTGGTTGCCGCCGCCGCTGTTGCGCTATTGCTGCTGGAATTGCTGCTGCTCGAGTTGCTGCTGTTGCTCGAATTGCTGCTATTGCTGGCCTTCGATAGGGCTGCTCCTGCTCCACCTGCAGCCGCTGCTCCGCCTGGCTGATCCCTCAGATGGACCTGCATGTGCGTCTGCAGCGAGGACTGCGTGTGCAGCTTCTTCTTGCAGATCTTGCACTCGAAGGGGAAGTCGCCCGTGTGCGTTCTGGCGTGGATCTTCAGGTTGTAGCGCTGTCCGAAGCCCTTGCCGCATACGTCGCATCTGAAATGGTGCGAATATAATGTATTTTAGTGTTTTTGTGTTGAAATGTGTAATACAAAAATTAAATACTTAGAAAAATGGCTTATAAAAGTACAACCAACAAAAAGAACAATACATTTTAGTAGCACATTCACAGATAATCGTAGTATTATAGTAAATACATCAAAATATAATATAACATAAAAAATGAAATTAAAAAAAAGGGTTTATTAAGGTCAAATCAAGACATTTTAGTAGCAATTTTATAGATAAACCTAATATTATAATATTTACATCAAAATATGATGGATCTTTCAAGGAAAACCATGCAATTTCATAGTAAATTCAATAAATAATAATAAAACAAATAAAAAAATAAATAAATAAATAAAAAAAAATATAAAAAAATAAACAAAATTAAAAATAATAATAATAGTAATTAAGACACTACGAAAAATTGATGATAGCTACTACAATTGATGATAGCTACAATTGATAAATGATAAATATCAATGATAATACAGCATATTTCCCACTTACTTGTGCAGCTTGACCCCCGAATGGAGCTTCGAGTGCCCCCGCAGCGATGCCAAGGCGCTGAACACCTTGCCGCAGATCTCGCAGGTCAGATTCACATTCTCGTTGTGGATCTTCTTGTGCACCTTGAAGTACTCGAAGCTCATGAACTCCTTGTGGCACACCTCGCACTTGTACTTGTGCCGCTCCGACTGCTGACCCGTATGCACTCGCATGTGCTTGATGAAATTCGGCCGGAAGCGGACGACTCGGCCGCAAATCTGGCACTCGTACGGCTTGCAGCGCAGGCAGTGCTTCTCGTAGTTCTTCAAGGACTTCAACACCATGTTGCAGATGGCGCACTTCATGTTGTTGGCATGGCCGCTACGATGGATGTCGAAGAGTTCCTTGGAATCGAACTTTTCCACACACTCGACGCACTGGTAACTGGTGGTCACAGTCGCCGCCGTCGCCGCTGCCGGTGGGTTATTGTTGCTGTTGCTGTTTGTGGAGTTTGTGGAATTGCTGTTGCTGGTGGTGGAAGAGCTGGATGCTGAATGCTTCACTGGATGGGTTGGCTGTTGCTGTTGCTGTTGCGCCTGCTGCTGTTGCTGCTGTCTCTGCTGTTCTTGTTGCTGCTGTTGCTGCTGCCTTTGCTGCTCCTGCTGCTGCTGCCTTTGTTGCTGCGCCTGCTGCTCTTGCTGCTGCCTCTGTTGCTCCAAGGCCAATGCTAATTGCTGCTCTGCCGCCGCCGGTGTTTGTTGCTGCTGTGTCTGCAATATCAATTGAGTGGCCGGCAACGCCTGTTGCACCACATTCAGCACCGTCATGGGACTCCGGCTGATAACCGCCGCCGCCGGCATTCTCACATAGGTTGTGCCGGCCGTGAGGCCACCGACTGCGTTGCTTATGTAAACAGGTCGCCGCTGCAGCTGGACAAGGGCCGCCTCGGTCACGGGAACGGACAATCGGTGGGTGGTGGTGCTCACAATGCTACCGGCGGGCAGTTGAACCAATTGCTGTGATCCTGCGGCGCCAGCAGAGCTACTTGTCGCTCCTCCCGTTTGCGTGGCTGCACTTATTTGGTACTCCAGCTGCTGCTGGTGCTCCTCCTCATCGTCCTCATCCTCTTCCTCCTCCTCCTCGTCGGGCATCTCCTCATCCTCCTCTAGCTCCAGCTTGACCTGAGTGGACAAATGCTGCGTGGTTGTTTCGGGCTCCTCGTCCGCCTCGGCTGCCTGAGCCTCCTCTTCGATATCCTGAAGATTCTCATCGTTCAGCTCGGGATCCTCCTCCTCCTCGTCCTCCTCCTTGATATCGCTGGCGGCCAAAACGGATGAGTTGCCCGTAGCCTGGATGATAATGCGGCGACCGTTCAATAGATGATGCTGCTGTTGCTGCTGCTGCTGGATGAGCAACTGTTGCTGGTTGTCCAGGTGATTGTTAGTGTTGCTACTGCTGCTGTTGTTGCTGCTGCTGTTGTTGCTGAAGGAAGCGCTGTTGTTTGTGGATGTGCCTGCTGTTGCAGTGGTTGCAACAGCTGCCGCTGCTGCTGCTGTCGGTGGGTGGTTGTTGCTGCTGCTTTCCAGCTTCAGATGATGATGCGGATGATGGTGTTGCTGCTGCTGCTGCTGATGGAGATGCTGCTGCTGCTGCTGCTGATGCGAATGCGAGTGGGGAAGATGATGCGAGTGCGAATGCGAATGATGGTGATGCACATGCGAATGCTGGTGAGGATCGTCGTCCTGCTCCATGGGAGCATCCTGCAGTATAAATTCGATCTGTTGCGATAGGGCGCTATCGTTAATGGCCATCAGTCCGTCCATATCCTTAACGCCGGCAGCGGCGCCGACGGCCGGGAAGAGCGATGGCAGCGCCGCCGACGTCCCGCTGCCGCCGTCGACGTTTGCTGCGCTGCTGGCCATGGCAGCGATATATTATATTATATATATTTTACCAATTTCCGATTTATATCTGCAAGTGTAGGTGAAATATGTTAGAATTATCTTAGATCTTATTTAATAGCTCTATAAACTCACCTCCTTATGAGCTGCTCACTATGCGGCGGCTGCTTTGCGTCTTCTTTAGCTATATTTTATATATAGTTATCTGAAAAATAGAAAAAAAAAATACATTTAATTAAAAATTAAAGTTTAGTATAAGTCCTAATTTAATTCATAAATTATAAATATGTCAATTGCCTTGTTCTTACCAATTTAAGAAATTTAGGGCCGTTTTCTCATCCGCTTGTTAAATTTATTGACGTTTTCTCGTCCGTTTGTTAAATTTAAAGTACGGTTAAAACTATTAAATCGTATGGGAAATCGTAGTTTAAATCATGCTTTAAATTTAACAGGCGGACGAGAAAACAGCCTTTAAAGTACGGTTCAAACCAAGAAATTGTACGAGAAATCAGAATTTAAAGCTTACTTTAAATTTAACAGGCGGTCGAGAAAACGGCCCTTAAACGGTAAGAAATTTCCTAACTTTTTCAAAATTAAATTCGAAAAAAAGTTGTCTGATTAGTTGTAGCAAATTGTATGAGAAATCGGAGTTTAAACCTTCCTTTAAATTTAACAGACGGACAAGAAAAAGGGCTTTAAAACGGTACGAAATCTCCCAATTTTTTCGGAATTTAATTCAAAAAAACGTTTTCTGATTTTTGTTACTTACATTTTTTTGCGTTTAGCCAAAGATAATTATTTTTGAATCTTGTTTTTTAGGCGGCTGTGGTTTCTTCTTCTTTAGTTTTTAATTATTTTTCATTTCTAAGCGCTTCTTCTTCTATTAAATATTTAGCTGTGCTTCTTCTTTAGTTATTATTTCTGTTATTTTCTTATTCTCTTCCGCCGCTTTTGGATATTCTTCTTTCGCTTGCCGCTCTTCCTTCGCTTCTATTATTATTATTATTTTTTTAGATTGGAAAACACACGCACTTTTTTATGTTTTGTTTTGTTTTTCTTTCGCTCAACGCCTCGCTTTTTGCCTTTCTCTTATGTTCACATTTGGTTTTTTGGGCTGCACAAAAATTTTCCATTTCCTTGTCATGCGGTTTTTTGTGCTTTCCATGCGGCGACGCTGGCGTCGACGTCGCTGCTGGCTGCGCTGCTCCTGGCTATCGTTTTTGTTGTTTTAGTTTTTGTTGCTTCCTTGCTTGATTTCCACATTTTCATTTAAAAAATTTCCCTTTTTGTTTTTCGTCTCACACACACACACGCACACATGTACAGCTGCCGTTACAGTTAATTTTGCTCCTTCCTTCCTTCCTCCTTCCTTTTTGTTATTATTATTGATTTGCTCTCATCTCTGGCGATTTGTGCAATTTGATTACTAACTGTAAGGGAAATTGAGAAAAAAAATCAGGTAAATTACACACGTTCTTGTTGTTGTTAACAATTAAATGCGTTTTACGAAATCCGATTTTCCACCCACACACACGCACACATGGGCGCGCGCCTTTGGAAATAAAAACAAAAAATTAATTTTAGCTTTTCCCCCCACACAAACACACACACGGGTTTTTCACTTTTGCTCCATTTTCTTTCGTTTTTTTTTTGGGGAAGTCTCTTCTCTCTCTTTCGCTCACATTTTTTGACCTTTTCGTTCGTTCTCCCTTCTTTCCTTGTCCTTTGCGCCGCTGTTTCTCGTTCGCTTCTCTAGTTTTCCGCTGCTTTTCAACTTGTTAATAACTTAATTTTATTTATTTGCTCGTTTCTTTGCAATTTCTTTTTCGGTTTTTCGCAAGGCAGCAACAACAACGAACGACGCGACAATTAGCGGCTGCGCTGCTTCTTCTTCTTGCTCTCCTTCTCTGGCTGTTCTTCCTCTGCTTCTTCTTGCTCCTCTGCCGACTTTGCTCCCCCGCGTTATTAATTTTCCTATGGCTTTCCCTTTGCCATTGTTGTTGCACTGCCGTTTTCCACGCACCCGCTTTGCTTTTCCCGTTCGTAAGCTCGTTTTTTCTTTTTTGCGCTGTTCTCCACTGTTCAATAATAACAAAAAAATATTTGCTTGTGTGTGAATTTTGCCTCCTGCGCGCTTGTGTATGTGTGTGTGTGTTTGAGCAGGGTTGCATTCGGCGGGCAGTGTTGGTTAACGAACGAACGAGGGGCGCGCAATTTGGCACAATATTCAAAAGTTAATGGGTTTTCGGTTGTGTCGTCGCACAAAACAACCTTATTTTATTCCCGTTTCTTAATGCTCCCCTTCCAATTTCAATTTAGCTCTTGTCGAACTCCTTTTGCCTTTCTTACCCTTGCTTCACACCCACACACACAACTGTATTTGTGTTCTTGCGACCAGCGCAAAACAAAAAAATATACAGCAGCGGTTACTAGTTTAATACAATAATATAACATGCAAAATTCGTGTTCCAAATAATCGAAATATTTCTTATTATTTTATTGTGAGCGATTTCAGAAAATAATCTGAAGAAAATTGATTACTTGATTAACAGGTGTAAAAGTTAACAAGTGAATTGGCCACCTTCACATATAGATATACTATTATTTTGTACAGCACTGTGCTTAAAGGACTGCCAGAACTTGGAGCCCAAAAACGGAGCACAAAAAGGGGATGGTGCCGGAGGGGGGGGAGCTGACCTAACAAGCGGAAATAGGCACAAAAGAAACACTCCGAAAGGCGGCGTGTGCGAGAAGGATGGCATATAGCCGAAAGGCGGGGGAGCGACAGAGAGGGCGCTAGCCTCAGTGGTTGAGCGTCATGCAATGCACAGTGGGGCGAAATGTGGAGCCCTTAAGTAATGAAGTAAATAAAAGAATATTAGTGGAATTAAAAAAATGTTAATTTATCATGAAAATTATAAATTGCAATTGGGTTAAAAAAAATAAATCACATTAAAACAAGTCATAAAAACATGACGACTATATTCTACAATAAAAGAACAAATTCAATTATTGCCTAGACATTCCACTTAGTTGCCCCACTGTGCGATGGGGCTCGCAGCGGGGGGTGGGGAAAGGGAGGAGGCGAAGCCGTTTTATTTCGACAGTTTTTGAATTGCTCTCTCTCTCTCTCTCTCTTGTTTCTCCCTTTTTTCGTGCGCTGCTCCTGGAATGAAGAAGAGGAAGACGAGATGGGGAAGAAGAAAACATCATCACCTTGGAAGAAAATTTTCAGTGGGAAAAGTAATTCGCTTCGTTTTTTCCTTTTTGGGGGGGGTGGTGGGTGGTTTAATGCTCAGTGATTTTTCGCCGGGCGGCGGGCGGAGGGTGGCGACCGTTTTTTTGGGGGTTGAAAACACACGCACACACTCGCACACTCCCACAAAAAAAAGGGCTAACAAGGGTTAAAAAATATCTGCACAATAAAATATTATAAAATAAAAAAAATAAAATCCCCACACAAAGGCAGCTGGAATGGAATCGAATCCTCTCTCCCACACAAACACACACACACTCAGCGAAAAGAGAACTAGTTCTTCTGATTTTCCTTTCCCCTTTTCTTAACTATTGGAAATATACACCCACATATAATATATATATTTAATTGTTTATATTTATTAACTGGCGCCGCTCTTTTGCCTCCTCCTCCTCACATTTTATTCGCACTTCACGCGCACTCACACACACGCATTCTCGCACACGCACACTTCTCTGGCTTTCCCATCGGTTTTTACTCACACTTAACATCACATTTTCGTTTATTAGCGTGCGTATGTGCAGTTGTTTAGTTTACCACTGCGTTTACTGCGTTTTATTTAATTTTATTCTATCCTTTTTGTTTTGTTTTTTTACGAAACTAACCAAGTTTTTGGAGATACATCGATAGGGCATATCGATATATGGCCGATTTCGCTGGGATTTTGCAGCTATTCGGTATTTAAATGTTTTCGGTATTTAAATACTACAGAAGGTTATTGGGGTGACCTAGCGAAGTCACACTCCCGGCATAGCGGAGACACGCTCCTGGCATAGCGCGAAAACGCACCTAAAGTAGGTGTTTTCGAACACTTTAATTTCGTGTTAATAAACACGAAATTTTATAGAGACAAAATTTAAAGTGTGATTCTTTTTTCCAAATTAAATATATACTTCCTGAAAATACACACTTCAACAGCGAATTCCAACATGTTACTAATGGAAATACGACGCTTAATATATATAACTAATAATATAATTCATGCTTTTATTCCTTTCAGCTGATACAATGTGCGCTTTAAATAGGTATTCATTTTCTTATTTTGCTAATAAACTTAAATTAAGTTTAAAACTTATTAATAAATATTCAAAATAAGTCAAATAAAAACCGATAGCTATTAAAAGTTCGATATTTGGTGTAGCCCTGGTCATTTTTCGGTAAATTATCTGACTGGTTTTTTTAGGAGCAAATATCGACTGTTTGAGATTTTTTAGGGGCATAATATTAAAATTTCTTACTCTGTGGCAACTGTCAGAGCTAGAAGGTCGAAATTTCTTCTTGCAGATTCAGGTTTTCCTGCGCAGAGCAAATTTTTTTATGTTTATATTTTCCATATTTTCAAAATTGTTTTTATTATTATTATTTATTAAAGACCCATCACTGTTGTCCTTATATCGCATGCTTTCTCGCTTTTTGAATGCGAAAATGCAAAATGTAACAATCTTGGCAAGTCCAATATTTATTGGATTAATCGTTCCTTAAGTTACATAATTTAAAATCTGTCCTTTGTGTCCATTTCCACGCCCATTATGCGTTTGAATTCACGATTGCGGAACGCGCGACGGTCGGCCGGCGGATTTCCCTGCGGATTCCTTATAACAAAAGGCCTTTCTCAGTATTCTTTTGGATGTTGTGTTCGAAGTCTCGATTCTTCAGTCTCGATTAGAATTCCATTCGGTCTTGGCTCTGCCGGGGGCAACGTGCCAGGGAGCTTGTAGCGTTCCAAAGACGAGCGGTCGGGGCACTCGACAACATGATCCTTATGGGTTATGTTGAAGGGACAGCGCACCTTTTTAGACGAAGGAATGTTTTTAGCACAGCTTATTAAATGCAATGTGAAACGGGCTGGCCTGATCCTGTGAGCACTGTCATAAATAGTCCCGGTAATAGGGTCCCTTATTTTTTTAATTTGTTCTTTCTAATTTCCTGGTGCTATAAAGATTTCCTTATGAATTTATGCACTAGTCACAAAAACCATATTAAGTATAATGAAAATATGCCGATTCAAGTTTGCTTGCGCAGAGCAAGTTTGTTTTATAGTTTCGCAAAGTACTTGAGAAAGTAAAATATACAACTATTCTCGCTAGTCCTATATTTATTGGTTAGAAGGCTTTTTAAGTTACGAAATATTTAAGACCCATCACTATTGTCCTTATATCGCATGGAAAAATGGAACTATCTTGGCAAGTCCAATATTTATTGGATTAATCGTTCCTTAAGTTACATAATTTAAAATCCGTCCTTTGTGTCCATTTCCACGCCCATGAAGCGTTTGAATTCACGATTGCGGAACGCGCGACGGTCGGCCGGCGGATTTCCCTGCGGATTCCTTATAACAAAAGGCCTTTCCCAGTATTCTTTTGGATGTTGTGTTCGAAGTCCCAATCTTCTTCAGTCTCGATTAAAATTCCTTTCGGTCCTGGCTCTGCCGGGGGCAACAAGTCAGGAAGCTTGTAGCGTTCCAGAGTAGAGCGGTCGGGGCACTCGACAACATGATCCTGAAGATCGGGTATAACATGTATTAGCATGTTCGTCCTTATGGGTTATGTTGAAGGGACAGCGCACCTTTTTAGACGAAGGAATGTTTTTAGCACAGCTTATTAAATGCAATGTGAAACGGGCTGGCCTGATCCTGTGAGCACTGTCATACGGACAAGTAAAATAATCCCGATAGTTTGGCCCAGCCACCGCGTACTTATTCATAGCATTTATTTATTTATTTCTTTCTTTCTTATTTCCTGGTGCTACAAGGATTTCCTTATAAATGTATGCACTAGTCACAAAAACAATATTAAGTATAATGAAAATATGTAGGTCCCTACTTATATTAACTTTATATATCCTTACGCTACAAGTAAAAACTAATATTTATTGCCAGTGAAAGTTTAACGAAGAAATTCGTTTGGTATTTTTTATTATAAAAATAAAAAAAATTACATTTCTTAATATTATAGGTTTAGGCAATTTTTACAATATTTACGAGAACTCAGGCAAGAAAGAATTGTTTCTATCTTTGTCGAACCAATTACAGTGAAATTTAAGCGCGAACATTACCACGAACATGTTGGCCGATAGAATTCGACTGTGAATGCCTTGCTGCACCCACAAAAGTCACTCACATGTCAAAATCAAAAGAGGAAGAGAAAGAAAACAGTGTGCCCATTTTTATTAATTAGGGATTTTTGTAATGTATATTTGTGTTATGTATGTAGTTGCGGTCCCGTTCAGCTGAACAGATTCAGGATTGTCCAATTACAGCAAAAAAAAAAGAACATTTTCAAATTTTTACCAAAAACCCAGTTCCCAATTTTTTACAAAAAATAATTCGTTTTTTGCCCGTAACAATGGAAATATTGATACAAATATGGATTGTCATACCTTTCTAAACTCGTTATTACATTTCCAATCGATTGGCATTTAAACCTAGACACTTTATTTTTTTTGCCATTTTTCGGAAAAAGCATGATCTCCTTAAAAAAAATTGAAAAATGGTGAAAATTTTATTTTTTTAAGATCACTCGAAAAGTGTCATGGATTTATTTATTAGTTTGTTATCAGTTCAAAACAGCATGTATTTTTGGTGTAAGACCATTTTTAACCAAGTTACAGCAAAAAAACCAAAAAAATAAATTCGTTTTTTGACCGTAACAATGTAAATATTTATCCAAATATGGATTGTCATACCTTTCTGAACTCGTTAATAAATTACCAATCAACTGGTATTTAAACCAGAAAATTTCATTTGTTTGCCATTTTTATCCATCACATTTCGAACAGATTAAAATTTTTGAAAATCTGTTATACACGCGCCTTGGCGACATTAACTCGAAATTTCCCTTCAATCAGCTGTTTGAAAGAGAGAGGTCATTCCGGATTCCAAAAACATTTGCAATTGACTATTTCATAGAATATTTTAATATTTAGCAATTTGTATCTTTTATAATCTCAGTTTTTTAGTTTAGTTAAGCAAATCTTGGCTTATTTAAAAAATTGTAACAGGGGCTATTTCTGTAAAAATGCCAAATCTGAAAACAAAGATCTCAGTTTGTTAACTAAAAATCCAGTCTCACTTTAAAATCAATCTAAAAATGGTTAAAGCTTAGTTTTGGGTAACTAAAAAATGAATAAATGTTACAAATTAAAGTGAACTAGATTTGGGTTACCATTTTAAAATTTAAAAATGTTGCTTCTGTAGTTTTTTAAAACTTTATTGTTTGTTTCTTATGTTAAGTAAATAACAGAAAATGTAGGTTATGGTATACTTCTATTAACATAATGTAATCCCGCGATTTCGAATTTCGAAAAGGTTAATTTCCTTACTAGAGTAACGCAACATCCCTGGACATTTTCTCTCCTCTCATTTCTCTCTCTCCCCTTCCAATTGGGATTCTCTCGCCCGCTCTCGCTCTCCCTCTCTCAGCTCTCCCATTTCCAATTGCCATTAATAACCGTAGTTCTCTTTCTGGTGCCGCGGACGCAAAACCAAAATTCCCTCTGTTTTTCGCAGCATTACGTTTTTCAACGCGGCCGCGTAAATAACAAAAAGCAGCGCGCGGAAAGAACAGCGGAGGAATTTCAGTTGGATGGGAAACGCCAAGCGGAGAAAAACGAGAAACCGAAGCACAGAGAACAGAATCGAAAGACACAAAACGCTGATCGAAATCGTGAATTAAACGAAAAACGAAAGAAGTTGGGAAAACTAAAGTTCATACAATGCGGAGGTGAACTGCGCTGGGTAATTCAATTAAATCATCTTTTGCGGACAACAAGGCGTCAAATTCAAAAAAGAAATGGTTGTATTTTGTTGTTACGTGAACGTTGCGTTTTTGAATTTATGAATCAATTCCTTTTTGCATCCCGCCGCGTCTTATTTTACTCATTTCTTTTTTTGCCACTTTTTTTTACTGTGTATGTGCGAAGACAACAACAAAAATAATGGTAGCAGAAACAACCACAACAACAACGACAAAACATAAACAACAACAGTAAACAGACTTAAAATATCGGCGGCAAGCGGCTAAAAAATCAACGTAAATATAAAGTTTTACGCTCTCTTTATTACGTTACGTTTTGTTGTGTTTTTGCAGTTTTTTGAATTTTTTTCGAGTTTTTTTTTGAGTTTCGTGATTAGTTTTTTTTCGGTTTTACTGGTATAGTTAGCTGGGCCAATTAGCATTTCGGTGTCGCTGTGTTTGCTTATTGGAATATGACAAAATCCAACAAAGCGGTGCAAAATAATAAGATAAAAAAATACGTAGCAGTGGCAAGAAGCAGAAAAAGCCGCAACGTTGCGAGAGAGAATGAGAATGGGAGAGCGCGAGAGAGCATTTGTATGTGTTGAGTGTGTGTGTGTGTGTGGTAAAAACTACACTGAAAGAAAAGTTGGCTCATTGTTTCAGCATAACGTTTTATTATGAAATTTATTTAGCTGAAGAAAACATATATTTGTTAGGAGAACAAACAAAAAAAGTTGAAATAACTTCTATTTATTTTGTAGTCTAAAATAAACAACTTTTTTGCTCAGTGTAATAAGTTAACAAACTGACGACGTGTGTCCGTTTTTTTGGTGTAAGGAAGAGAGAGAGTGAAGAGAGAGTTCGAAGGTGGGTGGCGAAATGAAGAAGGAAGTTAGAGGGGATGGGGAAGAAGGTGCAGAGAGAGAGCGCTACTCTCTCGCGTTTCATTGATTTTTCCCACTGAAAAAGTGAGAAAAGCCGTGCAAGAGAGAGCGCGAGAGAGGGAAAAGCCCCGAAGAGCGAGTAGGAGAGAGAGGGAGAGCGCGGCAGGAAAACAAAGGAAAAACTTGTCTCGGCGTGACTGCAATTCATAATTAGATGGCCGCCTGCTGCAATTGCAATAAAAACAAAAACAAATACAAAACCCAAAACGGGTTACCCCCCTCACAAACACCCTACCACCACCAGCCGAACCCCCACTCCCCCCACCACCCCCCATTCCCGAAAAAGTCACCACCAAAACCAAATTCTGTCTCTCTTTCGGCCACCAACAAAAAGTTGGGTAAAAAAAAAAACAACGACAATTCCAACCAACAACAATAATGAGAGAACGTGGGCAAAACGACGGAGAATTTAGTTAGTTTTGGCCGAAATTTCATAGCCCTACGTTCTTTTTTTAACTTTTAATAATTGCTTGGAAATATATTTAAAATTTTAGAATTATTAAAAATAAAATAATAACTGAAAACAATGGCTTAAAAATTAAGATTATTTAAATACAAGAATTTTAAAGATAGTTAGAAAGGCTTTTTTTAAAATGATTAAACATCAATTTGATCGCTTTTTTAATTAGTAACTACAACTTAAACAAAAACGAGAGTTCTATCAAAGTATAAAATAAAATTAAAAAAAAAATTGTATTTTTATAAAAATTTGAAAAAGGGAATAAAATAAAAACTTTTAAATTGATTAATATGGGTTCTAGACCTTAAACAACGTAATAATAATAATAATTAGTCAAAACAGAAGACTAAAAGAAGGTTAATTAATAAAATCCCAATAATTCGTACAGAAAAGGTTGTAATAAAATGACACTTGCAGTTTTTCTGACCATTTTTTTAGCCACTAAAACAGGAAGTTCGTATGGCGGTTCTACAGATCTTTTTGATCGATTGAACGCGTGACTTTCATTTCCAACTGGCTTGCATCTTTATTTCGTAACAAAATTACCAACATCTCTCCCACTCTCGCTCGCTCGCTCTCTTACCGGTTCTCCCCCTCTCTTTTGACCATAAAAAAAACAACTACAAAAAGTGGTAGCAGCTCAAAGCCAAAAGGCAAAGCAAATGAAACGCAATGAGACTCGCTCTCAGTATTGGAATTTTTTTCTGTTGACGTGCAATTAGCAAAGTGGCCGCATTCAAAAATCGTAAGCCAAACTCAATAAAAAAAAAATGAATCACCTGCTCTATCTAAACACAAAAAAAGTGGTATCAACCACCTACCGGATCTTAAAAGAAAAGAAAAGTTAAAAGTTTAAATCAAGAAACCAGTTGTTTTTTGCCACGCCGGTTTTTCTTCTTTGCCTTTTTCGTTTTTTTTTCTTGCTTTCTTACGAATTTGTGATTATTTTTTTTATTTTCGTACTGTTTATATCATAAAATGTAGTATATAATAAAATCAAAAAGAGCTTGCCAATAGTAGAAGAATGTAAAAATGCATTTTTGTAAGACCTATTAACTTTCCCCTCGACAAAAAATCCTTAATTCCTTCCTTTAACCTATAAAAAATTACACAACTCGATGGTTTTTAAAAAAGTATTATCAAATTTTTTTTTAAATAAAATTTTTAGATTTTGAGAAAATAGATTAAATGCAAATACGTATGTATTATATTAGTAGAGTTAGGAACCACGTTTTTGTTAATTTTATAATTTAATAAAGATAACAAATTTGCCCTTTATAAGTTAGTTGAATATTTTTACCACAACCAAATGGGATTGCAAATAGAAATGTGTCTAATTAAGTGTACTTGTCTTGTTCGACATTTTTCCAATAAAACCCCCTTTCGAAGAGTTTTTCCTTTAACACACAGCTGCGTTTCTTTTATGGTCTTTCCATCGCCAGCTGAATCAGAAGCACACACCTTGTTCTTCAGGTGTGTCAGCGTTATATATGTACGCTATTTTCCTTCATTTTTTTTTTTACTATCCCCGTTCAGTGGTGTTTGCTGAACGTTTTAGAACTTGGTGCCTTCGACAGTTTTCCCATGGTTTTTCCAGCACTTTGAGTGCCCGCGGGGCATTAACCCCAGTCTTATCGTCGGTGCGTGACGACCAGTCGAGAAAACCATAGGTATTAAACATATATATAGAGTAAAAGTGACCATAAAGCATAAGCTAATGAAATCGATCATCAGCCGAGATTTTCAAAAAAGCCAAATACTTTTTAAACGTGGTATTACATAAATCTGGGTCTAGATCGTGCCGGGAGTTAATGCAAGTCGTCAGTTTGGCTGAGAGAAAAAAATATACAATAAAAAAAAAGTAACAAATAAAACGAAAATTATAAATGCACATAAATTCCCCAGACAATTTTCCACTTTGCTCTGTGAGCAGCCAAGAAGCGAATGAATAATGGAACGAAAATTTGCTCCATCAAGCACGTGTATGCCAACCCCCTCTCCCCTAAAAATTCCCCACTTTCCGCGTCCCTGAAAAACCACTAATACCACCTCCCAAAAACCCCAACTCCCCCCGAAAACTTAACCCATGGCAGATCAAACGAATATTTAGAATTTTGCTTTGTAGCTGGATTATATGTAAAATAAGAATTTAATTTAATTTTTAATGTACCTACTCATTTAAATTTGTGAAACCCAAAACGAGTACAGTGCGTTTCAAGAGCGTAGGACAGTAGGACGGTAGGATGTTCAATCTTAAAATGTTTATGATATGATATGATAATAAATATTTCCACTATAAAAGTCAAGCTGAAGTTTTCTAAAATTTGCTTAAAATAAGTTAACTACTACCTACCCTTTTGAAACGCACTGTATCCAAAAACATATCAGAGTTATTGCATTCGTACTCATGTACCTATTTCTCTTTCTCTCTTCTTTTATGTATGTCACCACCACAACCACCAACCACACCAAAAATCACCAAAACCTCAATCAAAATAATTTATAAAAAAAAGTGTGCAATTTAAAAATATAACCAAGTATTATATAAAAAAATAATGCAAAATTGGTCAAGTGTCGACGGCAAAAGTTGCTCAATATGAGCAAAAAAAGCAGCAACAACAACGACAGCAATATAGCTGCCTTACAACAACTACAGCAGATGAAAATTGGAAAAGTGCAACAATACAAATTATCCATATATAAAATAAAATCAAAATAGCAAAAAAAAATCCAGCCAAAAAATTAAAAATTTGAAATAATAATTTTTTTCTCCCCTCCAATTGCCTGGCAATATCTAATTGTTTATATATATATATATATAGCATTACCATCTTCATATATATCTATTATATATGTATTATATATTTGTGTATCTGTGTGTGTGTATTTTCGTGTGCATTCCATCCATTAATTCTATAACTCAATCTATGAAAAACTAAACGAAAAAATTTAATAAAACCGAAAAACACATAAAAATAAATAAAAAAAAAAAAAAAACAAACAAAAAATCGCATGTAAAACGCGAATAAATAAATAAATAAAAAATTTACAATTTACAAACCATTCCGTAAAACAAACGAAAATAATCTGAACCACAAATCGTGCACCAAAATGGCGGACATCATGCGTCCGCCGTACAGTGAGATCAAACGGCCGGACGAAATCGTCAGAATGACAACCGCCGACAATCTCAAGTTTGCCGTCCTCATCGGCCTCATCGAGGTTGGCCAGGTGACCAACCGGGAGGTGGTCAATACCGTTCTGCATTTGGTAAGTGCCAATCAACCAAAAAAAACTATGTACATTTTGAACAGGTTTTGTCACATTACGAAGCTCATTACTGAAATCAGAGGCGCTGACGAAAGATATCGATGGGCATTGCACTGTGATATCGATTGTGCATGTTGCAGCCCTAAGTCTTAAATTTATTACTCACATTTATTTATGAAAATTTGTTATGATCCAAGTTACGTAAATAAGATATGGCACAAAATATCGATAATATTATTTTTTTAAAGTTTAAAGGCTTAGCTACAAACAAGTTCCCCGAATAGACTGAGACTATATCATATTAGTAATTACTTGGCTAATTTTATTATGTTTTAAAACTTGCAAGGGTCATTGCTTTTGTGGGTCACAACATTGAAGTGAGATCAGAATAGTGAATTGGTTAACATTTTGTTTGCCACTCGCTTAAACTCATGGTTTATGGGTTCCATATGAACTAGTGAGCTCACAACTGAGAAATATAAGCAAATTTAAGTAGCTCGTAATTAGCGCAAAGGTTAGGCCACTAAAAAGTTGATTTTAAAAATAAAATGTATTCATTTATATTAAATAGCATTGTATGGCAATTAAGATAAAAAAGCTTAAATAAATATATTATTCCCTTAACGTTCTTCATCAATTAATAAAATAAATAGCATTAAAATTAACATTCATGCAGGCCACTGCAATGCGTACAAAAAAACTAAATGCAGTTTAATTACATTCAGGTGTTGCAATGTTGCGTAAATAAAATTAAAATCAAATTATATCAATGATAACAGCCAGCCGCATTTAATTTGGCTTGAAAACTTAAAGAGGCCTGACAATTAAAAGCGAAAAAACAAATGCACTTGAAATCTCGACAGCAATTTAACTCTCTGTTTAGAAAGTCATTTTCCTCACACACACACAGCAAGACAGTCTTTTTCCCCATTCCCATTAGGGGAAAATTAACATTTCCAGCAAGCCGCAAATGCAAAAGGATAAGAAGGGGGTTGGTGGGTTGAGTGGGTGGCTGAGTGGGTGATTCTGGAGGTCGCTGTGAATGTGGGTGAAATTATAAGAAGTATGCCAAAAATCTCGCCCGACTGTGGGGCTCTGTGATTAGGATCAAAAGACTGGGGACTAAGACAATGTCTGTGCCACTTGTCTTCTTCATGTCCCGGCATTCTCCATTCACCACCCAACTTTTCCACCCTCCTCAGGTTTTCTCCATCCATCCCCAAAACACCTACTCACACACGTGGAGAGAACATTATTATTATAACATATTTAAATTTCTGAAGCTTAATGAAAACACGACACCGTCGCTCATCATTACCGCTCACTTTTTTCACCCGCACCCCCGGGCTCATGGGAAAAAAATGGAGAAAAACCCAGCGTCATCCAAACAGTCACCGCCAGGTGGCGCCTGCCACTGAGTCGGAAAAATTATCCAAGTTCCAGCCAAAAAAAAAAAATTATAATAAAATAAGAAAAACATCACCTCCATCCAATTGGGGGCCACATTTTTGGCGTTGGCTCAGCTGAAAATGCGAAAAATATTTTTGCGCCTTACACTGGCAAAAATAAATAAAATAAGAAATCAATTTAGGGGTTCTGCTTATAATTCAAATACAGAATTATTTTCTACTTTTTTTCTCGTCAAAGTAATTAAGAAAATAAATTTACAATTTACAATTTATGGTAATTAACTCAAAATAGGGGATTTACATTTTCCAAGTGCAAAAAGGATGTGAATCTTGTCAGCGAGAAGAGGAAATCAGGGCTGAAAAAGGGGTAGGGAAAGTATGAGGGGGTGTTAGTTAGTCGGTGGAGGGGTGGGGTTCGTAATAAGAAATTGAAAAGAAATTGAATTGAAGTTCGTCATCCGCTCGGCGTCGTCGTCGTCGTCGTCGTTTTCATCGCACTCGAATAGCCTCAGATAAGATAAGCGCCAAACCGGCAGATAAATTGTAGATACAGACACAGGTACACAGGTGCACACATACACCTACATATAAAGCAAAAAAAAAAAAGCGGAATGTGTGCCAAGTGGGGAGAATAATATACATACATACATAGTACATTATATGGCACGATCTGATAAGCGTGAAAAAATGCGTTGACGTGTTCCAATGCCAGCTGCAGACTCAAAAAACTCTAGCCGCCAAAACCAAAAAAAAAAAAAATGTTCCACAAAGATAATAAAATAAAAAGAAGAAAAGTACCTACGCCTACGCAAAGGCCGTGAAAAACCCCCTCCAAAGACATCCCAAACCCCAAAAAATCAATAGAAACAACGTGGTCGATTAATGATTATGGATATGGAGATGTTAATGGATGGCAAACGTTGATATAGGGACATGAGTGGAAATATGGATATGGATAGCTTAGATTGGAGACCAGGTGAGTTGGGAGTAGGACTAGTAATGGATGCGTTTCATGGGTCGTATCTCACAGATAACGCAGGTTAATGGATGGCTAACAATTTGGAAATTCCATTTTGGATAAGGAACACACATTTGTTATGTGCGAGATCTGAATTTAATGTCTCTTGATAAGCATTTAACTTATAAAACTTAATATTTACAAATGTACTACTTAAAAAACTTATTCTCTTAGGGTTGCCACCCCATTAAAAGAAAACGGTTTTTGAATCGTTAAAAATTTTGAACGGAATGTGGAAAGATTTTCAAAATGTATATTACTTTTTTATGCCACTCTTTTTAATTTTCGAGGCCACAAAATTAATTAATTTGCCCTTTTTTCTATTAATAATTTAAATTTTAAAACTTTATATTTACAAATATACTACTCAAACTACTTCTCCTGGTAGAGTTGCCACCCCACAAAAAGAAAAAATGTTTGAATCGTTATAACTTTTGAACGGAATTATTTTTTTAAGCAACTCTTTCTAAAACATAATATGTAATATTTTCTTTCATTTTCGAGGCCACAAAATTGATTAATTTGCCCTTTTTTCCCGCCAGTCCTTACCAGTACTTTTACGACCCCACCTCAACAAAACCGAAACCAATACGAACTGAACTCAACTCATTTGGCTCACTTGAGGGTCACTCGCCATGTTGGCTTAATCGGTCATTGGGCTTGTTATACGGCTCAATTATGCCCGTTTTGCCATGTGGCGCATTTGCTTCTGGGCCTCAGCTTAGTACAACTCACTCCCCCCGCCCACTTTTTTGGCCATGGGCCAGGGGCGTTCCACCCCGCTTAGCAAATGTCCACCCAATCACCCACCACCCCACCGCCCACTCTCTTGATTCCAGAGTTTCGGAAAGCCTTCTGTTGGTGTCACGTGCAAGAGAGGCAAAAAGCCTTTTAATCGATTTCTCGTTCTCATTCTTGTTTTCCCTTCCCTTCGCTTCCGCTAGTAAAATAATCGTTTAATGCAAATCGCTTTTTGTTTAGCCCCTAAAAATAAGAAGGTATTTCCTTGCATTAAAAATCCAACAGGGAAATGCATAAAAAAGGATAACGATTCGGTTGGGTTTTGTCAATGTTTTATTCGTTGAGGGCAAATGGGGAGCCCCTTTTAATTACATTTAATTTTCCTGATATTTAATTAGGATTTTCCAAATAGCAGTGGTCGTAACGTTATTTTTTATTGATTTCCAAGAAAATAAAAATTTAGTAAGGTGCGTTTGAAATTTATTTTTATAAAGGAATGAACATTAACAATTTAAATTCCTTTTTGTAATTGTTAAAGAAAAAAGTAAAATATCTGTAGAAATATATACAATTTTTTCTTTATATATATAAATCCTAAAATTGTACATGTCCAAAGCTGTATCTTTTGTACCATCTGTAAATTCACCATCTGAAAATTCGTTTTATAAATATTATCTAGATAAATGTTTGCACATTCGTTTCACAATCAGCAATTGTTGTCGGAGAGCCAGTATTTTTTCTTTTCCACATTTAGTTAGTAACGTATAAGGTGCTCTGTTCTGTTCACCCCCCTCTATTTATCTTGTTCTTTATATGTATATTCTCCTCCCCTGCCCCCCTTTTTTGTTGTTTAGTTCCCTCTTCACCTTTACATATCATTTTCTGGCTGATAAAGTCGTTCAGCACGAAGGAGAAAAAGGTGGAAAAATACAAAATAGAAATGAGGGTTCTACTAAATAATGTACGAACATACTTTGCTACTTTTACTTAATTTAATTAACGGCCCGGGCAACGATAACAACAACAACAACAACAGCAACAATAGCAATAGCAACATGACTTTGACGTCGACGCCTGTCAGCTGTTCAAGTGTCAGAGGGGAAACAATGAAAATAGGCTTTATATTGTTGGCATCCTGATGAAGGACACCGCCGCCAGATGAGAGGGGGTGGTTTTAGGGGGTGGCGGCGACTGAGTGGGTGGTTTTGGCGGCCGCAAAGAGCACTGGGAAAAATCTATATTAAGAGTTTTCGTAGAATTTATTATATTATTATTATTAAATGTTTAAAAACAGATAAAATTCTGTTTTCGTCTAAAAACAAAAATATATATTTATAAAGATATTTTTTGAAATCTATTTGGTTTTAAAAATGTTTCAAATAATAAATTATTTTAATGAGAATACACATATTTAGACGGTTTTTTGATCAGACGATCGAACAATCGAAAAAGTAATGGAAAAATTGAATTGAATATAAATTGAACAACATATGGTCCTATAAATTTATTATTATTAACTTTTATTTAATTATTTTTTAGTTATAAATTTAAAAGATATCCCTGATTTTGTGTTGCCAAGTAAAAAGTGGAGAGCGAAGAAAGTGAAATGAAGAACAAAGGGAGAGAGCGAAAAGGAAAACTCGCCTAGACAACGTGTGGAATGCAAGTGGGTGGATTAATTTTTGGGGTGGGGATTTCCCACCCCCTCAAACACCACCTCCCCCTTCCCCTCTCCCCCTTAGCCTCTTTTGGCCTCTCTTATCAGCCAAACGAAATGAAACGTCACGAACTTCTTCTTCTTGTGAAAACGAAACGTATACGTTAATACAAAA